TGCAATGACCACGGCCTCGATCCCTGTTCCCGACCCAAACTCTTCTAAAAGGACAGGAAAGAACCACAAAGACATTAAACCACTAGGGCAAACAGACAGCAAAAGACAACAACAGAGCATACAATTCAACACACTCCTGCATGACGGGAAGCAGCTGAAGGAGAGGTCACTGCCCCTTGGGACCCCTGAAAGGCTCCGCCCTACAGGCACCAAGGAGGTACCGAAGGCTGACCCGAGTCTCAGACTGACAAGGAGAGAGCCCCGAAGCCGCTATTCAAGTCCAACAGGAGACCCCACGATTCTTTCTGAAGAAACTGAATCACACAGGCAGAACTGCAGCTAGGAGCCATCAAAGCTTACAGCCTGGGGGCCGCCATTGCGGCCCAGAGGGTCAAGCTTTGCTGCTTGCTACACCAGGATTCCACATCGGGGCACTGGTTCCAATCCCAGCTGCTCTGCTTCTGATCCAGCTCATTGCTAATGCGCCTGGGAAGGTAGTGGATGACAGTACAAGTGCTTGGGCCCCTGTCACCTAGGTGGGAGATCAGAATGGAGTTCCTGGCTTCCTGTTTTGGTCTGACCCAGTCCTGGATGTTGCAGCCATTTGGGGAGTGAACTAGTACGTGGAAGACCTTTTTCTCTATATTTCTGGCTTTTCATCACTTGGCCTTTCAAACAAAAAAAAAAAAAAATTAAAGGGTTGAACACAAAATTAAGAAACTCTGCCCCTCGGTGCTGTGGCACAGTGGGTTAACGCCCTGGCCTAAAGCGCCAGCATGCCATATAGGCACCAGTTCGAAACCCAGCTGCTCTTCTGATCCAGCTCTCTGCTATGGACTGGGAAAGCAGCAGAAGATGACCCAGGTCCTTGGGCCCCTGTACCAGTGTGGGAGACCCAGAAGAAGCTCCTGGCTTCTGATCAGTGCATCTCCAGGCATTGTGGCTAGTTGGGGAGTGAACCAGCGGATGGAAGACATCTCTCTCTCTCTCTCTCTCTCTCTGGCTCTCCTCTCTCTGTGTAACTCTTTCAAATAAATAAATAAAAAATCTTAAAAAAAAAAAAAAAAAAAAACTCTGCCCCTGCCATTCATTCCAAAGCAAAAATATAAATAAAAGACAAAATAAAAAAATCTGAAGTTCAATTCTAGGAGATTCAATTCTAACAGAACAGAACTTTCAGAAAGAAAAAATAGAAAAATGAAGGGTAGATGTTATAAAGGAAGTAGCAGGAGCCGGCACTGTGGCGCAGCAGGTTAAAGCCCTGGCCTGAAGCGCCGACATCCCATATGGGCGCCAGTTGGAGTTCTGTTTGCTCCTCTTCTGATCTAGTTCTCTGCTATGGCCTGGGATAGCAGTAGAAGATGGTCCAGGTCCTTGGGCCCCTGCACCCACGTGGGAGAGCCAGAAGGGGCTCCTGGCTCCTGGCTTCGGATCAGCATAGCTCCGGCCCTTGCGGCCATCTGGGGAATGAACCAGTGGATGGAAGACCTCTCTCTCTGTCTCTACCTCTCTCTGTAACTCTGTCTTTCAAATAAATAAAATAAATTTAAAAAATAGAGAAAGTAACAGATATTTCTGAAGACTGAATGATATGAGTCTCCAGATTAAAAGGCCCACTAAGATAACACAAAAAAGAAACAAACCACACAGAAGGTTATAAAACTTGAGAATGCCAAACAAAAAGACCCTGACATTTAAAAAAACAAGGGAAAATAAAAGGAATCAGTATAACTTTGGACTTTTTATCGCAAGCTGTCATGACACGACAGTGTGAAAATGTCACTGAAACTGCCAAGAGGAATCTTTTCAATCTAATATTCTAATTCAGCCACACCACCTAGAAAGACTAGGACAGACGTCTTGAACATGCAAGGTGGCGAACAACGGATCTCCCACGTGCTCTTCCTTAGGAAGCCACTGAGGATGTACACTTCTAAATGGAGCAAGCTAAAGAAAAGGCAGGCAGGAGAAAGGGGTGGAAGTCCCAGGAAAAGCAGTCCTACTGTGCGTACAGAACAGGGAGCTCCAGAGGGAGGAGTGTCAAGAAGAAATGTGTGGGATGGAGAGAGGACCGACTTGAAGCGCTACCTGGGAAAAACATCAAAAGGCACGTAATATATTTCTCTGAGTACTGGAGGAAACGCAGACATAAACACATAGAAAACTCATCAAAAAGTTTGAAGCACTTATTTTCTCTGGGAGAAATAAAAACATACAAGAAATACATCACCAACTCAAAAGGGAGCAAAACAGGTACACATGATATAAAACTGACGGCTGGGTTTACTTTTTTTTTTTTAATTAAATAATTTATTTTAAAGACAGTGATGGGGGAGGGGGACATGCAGCAGGGGAGGAGGAAAAGAGGAAGAGAGAGGGGGAGAGGGGGAGAGGGGGAGAGAGAGAGAGAGAGAGAGAGAGAGAATCTTCCATCTGCTGGTTCACTCCTCAAATTGCCACTACAGCTGAGGCTGGGCCAAGCCAAACCCAGGAACTCCATCTGGGTCTCCCACAAGCTCTTGGGCCATCGTCTGCAGTCTTTAGGGTGCACATTAGGAGGGAGCTAGATCAGAAGCATGCAATAGCCACATTGAACCAGGCATTATGATACACAATGCCAGTGTCCCAAGTGCCAATCTAGCCCCACTGCTGAGCCACAACACCAGCCCCACTGCGGGTTTCATTTAAAAAAAAAAATACTTAAAGAGTTTAAAGGAAAAATGGGATAAGCACCCAGTTATGATAAGATGTCAAATGCTTATTCTACACTGATTTCAGAAACACAAAATGTAAAACTCAAGGGAAAAAAAAAGAAACACACAAGACCTAGGTGAAGTCGAAGAAGCTATCCACAGAGCTTGGAGAGTAAAAACCTGAAAGCAGGAGTTCGCTTTTGTTCTAAGTCTTTCAGCTCTATTTTATTCTTTAAAAACTGTGCATGTATGAAATGGATTAAAACAACTTACTCTCAAATCAAAGGCAGTTAGCTCAACCTATCACTATCAACTTCATTCATAAGATTCTCACATGCAACTCTATAGAATATCATAAAATAATGTTAGTTTCCCATACCAGATTTCCCATATCACAATGATTGAAAAATATGGTGCACAAGTACTATTTCAAGTAGTCTTAAAACACCATGACAGCTTCCATGGAAAAATGCATTCTGCCAACCCAGGCTGCCTGGTACACAGCTTAGCACCTGATCTCTCCACCTAGGGGGAGCCAAGGAGTACTTTACAGATAAAAGGAATAGGGGAGAAGGTAAGGGGTAAAAACAGAGGACCCGGCCATGGGTCACAGGTTAATGGAATCTGAAATACAGCAAACGCTGCTAGAGGTCCCCCTCCCCCAGGGACAGAGCCCAGTCCTGGAGCTCAAGCCCCTCTGCCCCCACAGTCCACTTCCCAGCATACACTGGATGCTCATCAACCAGGAGCCTCCTCTGCCACAAATATCCCTAAGAAAACTAATTCCCTTTGAATAAGGGAACAAACACATCACCTCAAGCACTAGTTAGCAATGATTTCTTTTTCTCCGTGCCATAATCAAACTTCTATATATACAATATCTTCTTTTCATTCAATGGAACTTTGTCTGCAGCCAATGTCACCATTTCATTTAAAAAAAAAAAAAAACAACTATGAACTCTTACCTTGAGCAAAATACATAAAGCCTCACCTTTCTCATCTCTAAAATGGGGACAAAGACATAGACTTCACTGGTTAGCAAGAAAGTTCAAGGAAACAGCACGTACAAAGTGTGCAGGGGCAGGTTTATATGGGCACTCCATCAGCATCAGGCCCTGGTTGTCCTCTGTCCCTTCCCTCCACCCTTCACCAGGAAAGAAGAAACACACATAAACAACTTCACAAATTATACACGTTCTTTCCATCTTGACCAAGGCATGCATAACACATGAATATTTTCTAATATGATGTGAGTTGATTTACAAACATTCGCTATTTTTCCTAAGCCTAAATCTTATGTTCCAAGCACTGAGCCAATCCATGGGTTTAATTGGGCTAAACTACATTCAGCGAATTCGGCTAGCCTAAAAGGAGGATTAAGAAAGGCACGAGGCTACAAAAACACAGACGACCTCCTTAGCTAAAACTACAAATCCATACACGTAACAAACGTCTCAACAGCCTGCCGCGTGCAATTCCATTTCTCAGCAGACCTCAAGAAAATCCTGCAACTTAAAAAAGAATAAGTAAAAGCGATAGGCAATGGGTGGTGAAGCGAGTTAACTTTCTTCCCTTAAACCACGCCACAAGACCAAATAAAGGGACTGTGTTAATACACAAAAGAAAGCAGGCGTCCAGAAAGCAACAACGCTGTCGTGAAGGTGACCCAAGGCCAAGTTCTCCGTTCTCTTCAAGGTGTTTACACGAAGCAGTCACATCCTAGACGAGCAGCAAGAAGGGGCTCAGATGTCGGCTACCTGGGGAATCACCCACTATCTTTAAGTGCACCCAGAAGCTGCCACCAACGTCCCCTTGCTCTCACGCTTTGCTGAGAGCATGCAACCAGAAAGCACGAGCAACCGGAGCGTGGCCTACCCCGCATCTAAACCACAACCCAGGATCTGCGTGAATTCTCAGGCATCCTCCATCCAGGGCCCTAGAGCATGACAGGCACGGGGAAGGTCAAAGAAACTTTGCGCGGCCGGGGCTAAAGTTGCACCGAGAGCACGGCAGAGGGTGGAGGGGGATGGCACCGGCAGGATCCGGGTCTCTGGCGGAGGCCGAGGGTCCCCACAGTGGCGGGACAGCCAGGGCGAAGAGGGGAGGCCCCGAGACCGACCCGGGGCGGGGGCCGGGCAGGGACCACACCTCCCGGCCAGCACGGCAGGCAGGCGGAGGCCGGGGCCGCCGGGGCGAACCGGGCGCCAGGAGCGGGCGGCGAGCGCTGGGGGCGGGGAGGGCAGGCGCCCGCGGTCCACGCCGCGCGGACCGAGCCGCCGGCAGCCGGAAGCGGCCCGGGCCACTCACCGATCAGCCGGCGCACCTCGTCCTCGCTCAGGTAGAGGCTCACGCTGGGCCCCGCGGCCGCTGGCTGCAGGGCCGGGGGCCGCGGGGCCGGGGCGGCGGCGGCGGTGCCGGGAGCGGGCAGCAGCGACAGCAGCGCGAGCAGGAGCAGCGGCGGCGGCGGCGGCGGCGGAGCCCTCAGGCCGCGGGCCCCCGGGAGGCAGCCCCGGCCTGGCCGCCCCGGCCGCGCCGCCCCGCGCATGGCCAGCGCCGCCGCCGCCGCCGCCGCCGAGGAGGAGCGTCGGCCGGCCGCCGCGCCGCCGCCCACCCCCGGCCCCGAGCCGCTCACAGCCCCGAGCCGGGGGCGGCCGCCCAGCTCATCGCGCCGCTGGCCCGTGGCAGCCAGCCGCCGCTTCAGACCGCCGGAGCGCGCCGCCGCCGCCGCCGCCTTCCCGGCGGCATCGTCCACGGCGGGGGACTGCCCGCGGAGGCGCGCCCGTGCGCGCCGCCGCCGCCCCGGGGCCGCGCACGCACGCGCCGCCCGCTCCCTGCGGGCCGCATCCGAGCTGTGAACGCCTGCATTTTAAAGTGCTTCTGTCGGGCGTACGGCTCCTAGGTCACCCTCTTCAAGGGCCCGTCCTCGCCCCGCGTTGTCCCCCGGCTGCTGTGTCGTCTGCAGCCCCCTCCCCCGACGGAGGGTCCACGCAAGGAGACCCCGGCCGCTCCGAAGGTCCACGGAAATGCCTGGACGCGGCCTCTCTGGTTGCAAACGAAAAACTGGCTCTTTTTTTTTTTTTTTTGGCGTAGTGAGAAAGCGCAGATTAATAGTAATCACCCTTTGTCACGGCATGGGAGGTCAACCCCAGCATTTCTGTGCCTCTTCTTGCGGGTTTATATCGAATACATTTGTTTTCCAGAAAGATCTTAGCACCCTAAAGGGAGATGATGACACGCTGCGGATTTGAAATAGTTTTGTAGTCGATCTGCGTCACTGTCTATACGCAGCTCTGGAGTTGTGGATCTGCGACCCTTGCCAGGGTCCCAAAGCTGCTTCCAGAACGTGGGGAGTGCAAAGGTGTGACTGCGCACCTGAGTGTGTGTGTGTGCGCGCGCTTGAGCAAATAACCTCTCTCAGGGAGTCCATCTCCGCCCCCCCAGAGGGTGGGGAGCGCGGTCGTAGGTCACCTCCCTCCAGCCTCGGTGTAGCTCCCGAGCATCCCCGCCCGGTGGGACAGGTCCCCTCTGGCCCCAGCCTCCCCTGCGGGAGCAGCTGCACTCCAGCCAGGCCCGGCTTAGGCGCGCAGTTGCTCTCCGCAGTGAGGCCCTGCACGACGGCTATTTTTATCCCCTGGAAGGTGGGGAAGGACCCGACTGATGAGAGATGTTCCGGAACTTAGTTTTTTTTTTCAAGTGACAGTTTAGATCTTGGCTGGCCCGGATTTAGCCAGCTTCAGCTTCTCAGCCCAGAACCCGCATCCTGCAGGAGGCGGCTGGGAAGAGGGTGGAAACCACACAAGCCACAAAAGTGTTGAGGTAGGGTGCCCCAGGAACTGCCGGGAAGAGCCTGGGGCTGGGGCTGGGGCGGAGGTGGTGCCCTCTGGACAGAGCTCCCGGTTCAGGTAGGAGACACTTTTATTAAAAGGGTGGCACGCCCCCTGCATTTTGGAAAGGGCTCCCAGCTTCCGGAGGTTCTTGACTGCTTCTAGATCTGCCTTTGCCTGACTTCGTGAGGCAGCCCGCAACACAGAGCTGTAAAGCCTGGCTGGGCTCTGCTACTTAGGAATCGTATGAAGTTGGGAACGTGACTTAATCTCTCCAACAGGGTTTAGTTGGAAAGGCAGACGACCCGGTGGGTGTCACACCTGTTGCTAGGATTGTTGTTCTAAAGAATCCCTTCCCTCTGATGACCACTGTCTATAGAAGTTTCATCTCCAGTTACCTCCCAACAGCTTAAACCAGACACCCTCAGGAGCACCACTCTCCCCGCCCTGGAGCCTGGGCTCTATCCCGGTCCTGCCAAGGCTTCCTGCAGTGGGGGAGCAAGGCGCCTCGCTGAAGATTCACTGTGCATTCATCATGCCGTGAAGGAGAAGTTAGCGGTTGCAATCCGTGGTCCCAAGGCCCTCAGGTGCTTCTGCGCACTCACTTAAGGACGGCTGCCCTCCACCATCTCTCCTCTGGGCTGCTGCCGCTGCCTGCACTGCACTTTCCCCCATAGCAGTCGGAGCCATGCTGCTCCGTGTCAGCCTCATCTGCCCACAGCTTCCCAGTCCATCTAGAGAGAAGGCAAGGTTCTCAGAAGGCATCAGGAAGTTCCCAGTCCCCACCTCCCTCCTTTTTTTTTTTTTTTTTTTTTTGACAGGCAGAGTTAGTGAGAGAGAGAGAGAGAGAGAGAGAGAAAGGTCTTCCTTCCGTTGGTTCACTCCCCTAATGGTTGCCATGGCCGGCGCTGCAGCGATCCGAAGCCAGGAACCAGGTGCTTCTCCTGGTCTCCCATGTGGGTGCAGGGCCTAAGCACTTGGCCATCCTCCACTGCACTCCCGGGCCACAGCAGAGAGCTGGACTGGAAGAGGCGCAACCGGGACAGAACCGGCACCCCAACCTGGACTAGAACCTGGGGTGCCTGTGCCGCAGGTGGAGGATTAGCCAAGTGAGCCGCAGCCTCGGCCACCCACCTCCCTCCTACCTCAGGACCTTTGCACTGCTGCTTTCTGTCTAACAGCCACATGGCCTCATCTCTCACCCCCTTCAAATCTATACTCAAATATTAACTTTGGAGTAAGATTAAAATCACAAACTTCCTAATGCTTAATTAAATCCTCAGCAAAGGAGCAGATTCCCTCTCTCTTTCTCTCTCTCTCTCTCTCTCTACAAGGCAGGTGGTCTCACCTAAAGGACTTCCCAGCACCCTAATCCCTGAACAGGAAGTCTCCATCCCCTGCCAAAGTGTAGGTGGCAACCTGTGAAATTTCTGAGTAAGCCTCTCCAGACAGATGCTGGGAAGCCCTGACCTCAGCCTGCTGTTTCCTTGACTGGGAGAAATGGAGGCCACGGTCATGACCGCTCTCCACACACTGCCCCCGCTCTTGGCTCTGCTTGTTATGGTGGTTGCCCTTCTTTCTTTCCTCCAAGACCCATATCACACAAGGCCCGGAAAACGCCATGAGCAGGATGCGTTACTTTGCCAGTCCTAAGAAAGGCCAGCTTTGGCCTGGAGATGCCCCAGGGTGGGAGCACTGGGCTGTGTGGTTGGCAGTGGCACAGAGGGGACACTGCATGGATAACGTAGATGACAGGGTTCCATGTGTGGACTCTGGCACAAGCTCCGAGACCTGCTGGTTTGGTGTCCACTGGGAGAGACGCTCAGCCTGCCTGCCAAGCGCTCACAGAGCCCCAGGACGAATCCTCAACCCTGACCGGCACTCGACTGTGCCACTAAGCTGGCGGGCAGTCTGGGAAGGGGTGACTCGGGTGTAGGCAGGGAGATCACTGGCAAGGAGGAGCTGAGGTCACCAGCCTCCCCCTGCCACTCTGCCTGCACCACCCAAGCCTCCCACCCCAGTCTCCGCAATGAAAAACCAAAACACCACAGCTTCCCCGATTTGGCCCCTTACTACTGGCCATGGCTAAAAATAACCAACATGGCTGCTGGCTGCATCCCTGTGATAGCCTTTAATTTTTTTTAAGATTTATTTATTTATTTGAAAGGCAGAGTTACAGAGAGGCAGAGGCAGAGGCAGAGAGAGAGAGAGAGAGAGGTCTTCCATCCGCTGGTTCACTCCCCAAATAGCTGCAACTGCCAGAGCTGGACCGATCCGAAGCCAGGAACCAGGAGCTTCTTCCTGGTCTCCAACGCAGGTGCAGGGGCCCAAGGACTTGGGCCATCTTCTACTGTTTTCCTAGGCCATAGCAGAGATTTGGATCAGAAGTAGAGCAGCCAAGTCTCAAACCGGCACCCATATGGGATGCCGGCACTGCAGGCGGCAGCTTTACCTGCTACACCACAGCGCTGGCCCCTTTGTGATAACCTTTAACTCATTATAGAGTCATTATAATAAAATTACCCTGGCTGACACACCTATTCCCATCATGCACCTGACGCCGTGACACTTCTGAAATTAAAAAAATAAAATAAAACGGAGAGGGGGAGCAAAGAAATGGGCAGCACTCAAGCCCCCTCCCCAAACTCCATCCCCTGCAAATACTCAGTTAAGCCCCACCCCTTTTACCGCCAGTTCATAAACAGGATGGACCCCAACCTGGTGGACGGCAGCTTTCTCTTGAGTGCCCCCACATGCGCTTTCACCACTTTGCTTGTAAATAAGCCCTGCTCCTCTACCCACCTGCATCTCCATCTCGTCCTCTAATTCTTCTCTTATGTCCGAAACAAGACCCTGCACCTAGCCATCCTACAACTGCTGTCTGTTCTGAACACAGCCCCTACCTTGCTCTGAAAGAAGTTGGGAGTGCTGCTTTCCCCATAGCCCTTCTCTCGCCTCAAGCGATGGATGAGCTCCTCGAAGTCAAGCAGCCAGGAAGCACACAGTAAAATACAAGCATTCCCTCCTCACACGCCCTCTCTCTTCCCCGCCATCCGCTTTAGTGCATGTATGTTTCCACAGTGCTTTCTGCAGGTAGTTACATTTGCATATGTGACCTTCAAGATGTTCCTAGAAAATGGGTATTATGCAAAAACTATGAATGGATTTAAAACCATTTTTTGTATCAGAATAAGCTGATCTTTGAACTTCATGTTTCCATGAACTTTTTGAACTCCCTTCTTGTATGCATTTAGACACACACCTGTTGTGTACGTCATTCTTTCCCGCCGTTCAGAAATAGAATCATTCAAAAAAGGAATTGGTCTGCAGGATTTGAGTTCTGGGCAGATCAAAGTAAGCTGTGATCTTGAGGGTGCCCCTGTGACATCCACAAGCACCCCACTGACATTCTCTGGGCTGGGATGGCTCCTGGCAAGTTTCCCCAGCTCTGACACCAGAGGTCATCCTTGCAGGTGCATCTCTGTGCACGCAGGTAGCTATTTACAAGGATGGGTTCTCTGAGAGACAATCTCTGAGTCAAAGGGACTTAGGTCTAATTTTTAAAGATTCTGCTGAGTTGTCTTCCAAAAGGTTTTTAACCATCAGTGGCATAAATGACACAGGCAAGGTAATATATCAGTGTTTTCCCTTTTGCTTTAAACAAGGTGGGGAAGAAAAGTGGCTCATTGTTTTTTAATCTGCATTGTCCTCTTAATGAGGTGTGGTTTTTTTATTGACATTCATGTTGTAAAGCATCCATCCACATCTTCTGCCTGTTTTTTTTTTTAAGATTTGTTTATTTATTTATTTATTTGAAAGTTGGAGTTACACAGAGAGAGGAGAGAGAGAAAGAGAGGTCTTCCATCCGCTGGTTCACTTCCCAATTGGCTGCAACAGCCAGAGCTGCGCCAATCCGAA